ACGGTATTTTAAGAGGTGTGTAATAACAGATAATTAAGAATGTATTAATGAAAATAATTATTTTATAATATAAATAATTATAAATTAAAATTAAGATAATTAATTAGTTTAATTAAAATTTTAAAAAAAATTAAAAAGTTTAAAATAAGATTAAAGTGTATAATTATTTTCCAAAAAATGAAAATGACATGGTATATAGGACGGACAGAAATAGCAATGTGATCATAGTATGTGGAACTGAGGAAATACTACCTACTACTGCTGCTAATATATATATATATATTATATTTCTATTATATGCAGATTTAATAATATAATTTTACATGTGATATATATATATATATTTATTTATGGTGATCAGAATAAACTAGTTTGTTTGTGGGATTAATTGAGACCACATTTTGCATTTCTTTAAACATTTTCAAATGTTTAATTCTTGTAAATCATACTCCCTTCGTCTTAATACAATAGTCTTATTTATTATTTTTGTTCATCTCAAAACAGTAGTCTTATTTTCATAAATAAATATATCACTATAAAACTACATTTACTTTTTCATTATTATTATACAATTGTCACTACTTTTTACAATAATACATTCACAGAGGCAAAAAAAATCTTTTATCTGTACTTTTTACCCAATATCAATATTCCTTAAATTTTATATCAAACATAATCCATATTATAGTTTTGAGGCGGAGGGAGCAGAATAATTTAGGCATGTGATTGTTAATGAATTAATTGAAAATCCAAAATGAATATTAATGTAGCTAGCTAGCTAGCATGCGGTGTGACTACCTAGTAATTAATTAATAAATAAATCTTAATAATAATAATAATAATAATAATAATATATACTGAATAAAATACTAAAAAGGCTTAGCAGGGGAAACAGTACGTTGCAGACAATATACACACATACATATGTATTTAATGTACCTTTGTGTACATATATAGCTACTCATTCATATAATAATAATAATAATAATAATAATAATAATGTTACACGCTTTATTAGTAAGTAAGTAAGTAGTATTGTAAAGAGGAGATTCACAGCAATCTTTGAACGTTCAAAAGAGAATAATTAATTAATATAATATAAAATATGTAGTTTTAAGATTACGAAATTAACCACATGCAGCTGTATCCCATTTATACTCATATATTTCTATTCCTATTCTCAATTCATTCCCAAGTGTTTTACCTTCAAAATACTACTTTCTACGTCTCATATAAGATGGACGCATTAGTGTAGATACGAAAATTTAAATAAAATCTAATTAGTAAATAATTAAGAAATATATTAGTAAAAATAATTATTATTTACTAAAAATAATTATAAATTAAGATTAAGATAACTAAATAGTTTAATTAAGATTAAAAAAAATTTGAATTTTAAAAATTTAAAATATAATTAAAGTGTATAATTAGTTTTTTTTTTTTTTTTTAAATGATAAATTATATGAGACGAACGAAAGATAGAAAATAAGGACAAAATAAGTGGCAGATGAAGTACTTAATTACTATCAGTAATATTAATAATAAATGTAGTTTCAACTTGCATGCATTCATGCATGCTTTCTATTATTAATTAATTAATAATAATAATAATTAACTGCCTCTTTCCTCTTACATTCACACGCCATTAAATTAATTAATTAATTAAATTAGTTCATTATTGGTACAACTGTTTATTTACGTGTGTGTCTGATCGTGTTTGACCGCTGACCATACGTACACCAAGCAACACTTGAACAATATATTTTTTTTTTTTAATTTTTGTGTGGGGTGAACACTACAAAAAAATAATATATTTGTAACGGAATTCCGTCTTTAAAGTTCACGTAGCTAACGTAATTCCATTCCTAATTCCGTCTCTAATGTCATTAGTAACGGAAAAAATTGATTTAGCGACAAAAAAGTTTTGTTACAAAAATAATTTTTTCTTGTAGTGGAATTTGTGACCGTAATATCATAATTAAAATTCTAAAGAAAAAAAAATAAAATAACTTTTTAACATTTCCCTTTTAGTTTTCACTAATCCCTCTCGGTGAAGGTTTTCGTTTATTTTTATAATAATTTGTCAATACTAATTTCTACAAAATAAATTAATACTCCATATGTCCTTTAACAATTTATATATTTTTTTTTAATTTTGGTCCGTCCCATAAAAAAGTATTTATTTTATTTTTTTTAGTAATTGTACTATCTACTTAACGTTACAAATACCCTTCTACTTTACAACGTATTACACAAATGTCATTATCTTTATATCATATAATACTAATAGAGTTTATTTAGTTTTTTTTTACTTTTATTTATACTTTATCTCAATATAATACTAATATTTCTAAACCTTTATGAAAAAAACAAATAAATATATAGATATGACACAGATATAGATAGAGTACTTTTAAGAGCAACTAAAGGAGTAGTAATTAATTAATTTATGGATCTATTTTTTTGCACATTGACTGCCTACCTACGTATACATAACCTATATAGCTACTGTGCTGCGTGTAAACCCTAATATGCATATAAATACATATACTTTCTCCGTCCCAGTGGAAGATTATCGTTTACTTTTTGCACGTAAATTTTTAATATTGGTATTATAATGAGTTGTAGTAAAAATGACGAAAATACCCCTATTAGTATTGTGTAATATAAAAGTAATGGTATTTGTATAATATTGTGTAAGTTTGCAAGGTATTTATTATGTTAGGTACGTAGAACAATTACTAAATTATGAAATTATAATCTTGTTTTGAGACGGACAAAAATGAAAAATGACAACCTTTCAATGGGACGGAGGAAATATTACATTCTTTAGTAAGTAGTACTAAGTATCTTGCTTACACAAATAAAGAAAATATATTTTTTAAAATACAACAATATTTTATGTAACAATATGAATTGCATCTAGTATTTTCATGCATACAATTAATTACTTGTAACCATCCTTCCCGTATTGGAAGTCTTGGTTACTGTAGACACGAGAAATTAAGATAAATATAATTACTAGATAATTAAAAATATATCAGTGAAAATAATTAACTCATAATATAAATTATTATAAATTAAAATTAAAATAACTAATTATTTTAATTAATTTTTTTAAAAAAATAAATTAGAAAATTAAAATAAAATAAAATATGTAATCATTTTTCAAAAAAAAAAAGTGACATAAGATGTTAAACGGACAAAAACGGCTATATGTACGTGGTAGGTGAGACATAAGGAGCATTATTTAATAATTTATTAGTTATTTGTTAATTATTTTCTTTCTTCACTAGTAAAATATCTTCATACTTTGCTAATTAGTAAAGAGTTAGTATTTCATACTTATAAAATAGAATTATATACAAAAATAAATAATAAACTATACATACTACTTCTCCATCGTTTAAAAATATGTTCATTTGATTGGATACAAAATTTGAGAAAAATGAGTAATTTTTTTTTTCTTTTATAGTAAATAAAAGTAGAAAAATTGATATTTTTTTACTAAAAAAGAAAACGAAAATACTTTTAGATAACAAACCAAAAAATAAAATGAATATAAATTTGGATGACAGATAAAATACATATTATTGAAATGCATATTCACTTATAATTGATGTATCGAGACGATTGAAAGATCAAGCCCTCGTCTAAGCGTTCGTGCATCTATCCGGTCATGAATTGTAAGCCAAACCTCGCCCATGACTTTAACTTCGTCGGCATTTTGTGAATTGTTTGGAAAGATCAATCATACTTCGAATGAGATTATTTATTCATGTATCTATTTTATTTTTAAAGTATGAATTTGTTTTTTTATAATTTTAAATTGAAATCAATATTATTTATTTTGCACAAATTTTAACAAAAAGAAACCATTTCTTCTTACAAAATACCACATAAAAAAAACTTTTTAATAAAAATTCAAATTAACACATTAATTTCAAAAGACAACCAAACAAACCATATCTAACTAGATAGATTAAAATGATGAAGTGAGAGAGAGTAGTGAATAAAGATTGATATATAACTAGTGTTAATATATATTACTCCTTATGTTCCAATTGAAATGATCATTTTACCATGTAAAAATAATTACAAAAAATACTATTTAATTTTTTTATATAAAATACAAGAGTGTTTGATTTGTGTTTTGGTTTGAATTTTTTATTTTTATTTTTAATGTAAGGTATAAAAAATTGTGTAAATAGTATAAAAATAATGAATACGTAGTATATTAATTTATCTGGTAAAATATGTTAAAAAAATTTTTGTTAAAGAAACAAATCCCAAATAGACTATTATACATATAAAATAATTTATATATAAAATATAAATGAAAAAAAAAAATATCAATATTATCTTACATAATCTTATTAATTAATTAAATAGTATTATTTTTTAATTTATTACAAAATTTAAAAGAACCCTCTAACACTACAAAAAAAAAAAAATTATAACAAAATTTCGTCCTAAATTTTAGATAGTTAACATAATTCTATCTCTGATGCTATTAGTAATAAAAAAAATAATTTCTTTTAAAAAAATCTTTTTAAAAAATGATATTTTCTTATACCATAAATTTACAAGAAGTGAATATCAATAGATATTTATGGTAAAATAAATAATCTTAAAATTGTTGGTTCGCAATAAATAAACAATTTAAAGGACTCCAAGAATGTATATGTACATATAGTATTATGTGAAAGGACAATTCTGCCCTCGGCACAACCCTAACCATAACAGAGACGACGTACTGAGTTCCTTCAATTTCTCAAATCACAGAGCAAATTAAAGCTAGGGTTTTTGGGATCTGTGTCTTCTTCCCCACCCCTCCCCTGGCCCTCAACTCCAGGCACCACATTTATGACCAACAACATCAAGAGAGAGAAACAAACATATATATATATATAGAGTGAGAAACAAATAGATACATACACACAGACAGACAGACTACTCTTGCTGTAAGTAATTTAGTATATATAAATCTGCTACTGCTACTGCTTGTTTGCCTTGGAAGAACAAATTAATGACATATTCTCTTAGAACCATTTTTGGACCCTTTCCCTCATCATCTTCTTCTTCTCCATTTCTCAATAAAATCCTAACCTCTTCATCTTCTTCCCACATACATACATACATATATAATATATATATATATATCTGCATGACTAACAGCATATGATTAAGCTCTACTAGGGTTTATTAATTAGATTCTCCATAGAAATTAGGGCAATACCCTAAAAGAAGCTGCCTCCATGAACACCCACTGGTTGGGATTCTCACTTTCACCTCATCATCAACAACAGCAACAGCAGGTTGCTTTCTCCTCCGATGAAGCTCCTGCAGAATGCTTCGATCTCATGGCGGCCACCTCCCAAACGCCTTCTTTCGCTCTTCTTCCACCTACTTTCACCAGGAACAGTTCTCAATCTCCAGGTTAGGTTTAATTTAATTTAATTTGATTTGATTTGATATGATTTATGCCCTTCAATCTTCCCACTTTGTTCACAACAATGTTTTTTATTTAATCAATTATTCAATTTTATGTATCTATAGTTTTTGGAATTCCAAATTTGGTCTTTGTCATCATCCCTCCCAAACCCCAATGCAAGAAGAAACCCTAATTTGAATTTTTTTTTTTTTTTTTTTTGCAGATTGGAGCTTAAGCTCCTTCACATGCACACAAATCAATCAAGAAACCCCAAAACTCGAAAACTTTCTTGGCCAATCTTTTGCAGACAACCAATTAGATCATCATCATCGTCATCATCAACAACAACAACCAAACAAGCAGACTGCAGATTACAGTACTGCAATCCACCATGACCAGACCTTCAAGTACAACATCTACCAACAATCCGACCACCATAACCAGCCCAATCTCAACACAAACACCATGGGACTCTCCATGATCAAAAACTGGCTGAAGAACAACCCCCAGGCTACCACTGCAGCAGATTCCAAGCCAGCCTCCGGTGCGCAGACCTTGTCGCTTTCCATGAGCACTGGCTCCTCCGACGCCGGAAAATTGCAGGCCGCCGCCGATAGTAGTCAGAGCAGCGGCGCCGGCGCCGGCGCAATCGAGTCACTGCCGAGGAAATCTATCGACACATTCGGACAAAGAACCTCAATATACCGCGGCGTGACGAGGTTTGAAATTTGAATCGAATTAATTTTTTTTTTTTCCTTTTCAACTAATTAATTGCAAAACAAGCTTTTTTCTTTTCTTTTTTTTTTTTAAAAAAAAAAAAAATTGTGTCAACGATTTTCGTGCGTTGGTGGGCAGACATAGGTGGACAGGAAGATATGAAGCACATTTATGGGATAATAGTTGCAGAAGAGAGGGACAAACCCGGAAAGGAAGGCAAGGTATGTGCAGTTGAAATTCTGTCTGCCATTGATATACATACATACATACATATATATATATATATATTATTTGATGTAAAATTATAACTCACTAATTTATTTACCTGTGTGGCTTTGCAATGGGATGATTCCATTCTTTACTGCAGTTTATCTGGGTAAGCCTTTTCCAAAATTTCCTCATCTTGTTTCCACTTTGAAAGTATAATTTCTTAATATTTACAAATCCCTATATATATATATATATATATAAATTCTATTGTTATTTACATGAAAACACTTCTGTAATGAAATTTTGCAGGAGGTTATGACAAGGAAGAAAAGGCAGCTAGGGCATATGATTTAGCAGCACTCAAATACTGGGGAACTACCACAACTACTAACTTTCCTGTAAGTTTATTTAATTTTTATCTTCTAATAAATTATATATATATATTTGTTGAAAGATTCATGTGGTTCTTTATCTGTTTTAGATTAGCAACTATGAGACAGAAATGGAGGAAATGAAGCACATGACTAGGCAGGAATATGTAGCATCCCTAAGAAGGTAAATATATATTTTTTTTTACTTAAAAATTTAAGACAAACTCTCGTTCCAACTACTAATATATATATATATATATATATAAACTTTGTTAACACAAAAAATATTTCATCTTTTATTTAGGAAAAGCAGTGGTTTCTCTCGAGGGGCCTCCATATATAGAGGTGTTACAAGGTAAATATATATATATATTATATCATATTGAACTTCATTATTTTATTTTTCACTGTTCTCCTTGTCGATAAAAATTGGCAAAAATACTTGTAATTTACCCAGTTAAAAAAATAGTCTTCACTTATGTTTTAAAAAATATTGTATAGAATTATCTGAAAATCACGAGATTCTTTCATATTCCACATAATCTCATAAAAATGGGATTTTATATAATATTTTCGAAAAGTCAAAGAATCTAGAAAAAGTCTCATAATTTTACCAAAAGAATTAGCATCATGTAAGTTAATTGAAGTTTTGAAGTATGGATTTTGTGTGAATGAGCAGACACCATCAACATGGAAGATGGCAAGCAAGGATAGGAAGAGTTGCAGGAAACAAAGACCTTTACTTGGGAACTTTTAGTAAGTACTTTAATTTCTTCCAAACTAGTTTCTGATTATTCGACAACATATATATATATATCGAGACAATTACATTGACACCATTCAAGACTCCTAAGAGCATCAATTCAAAGTTCAAAAAACATCAATCAAGAGTTCAGAGGGCATGAGTTTTAATATAGCTCATGCTTGCTTTTTGAATTTTTAATCGATGCTTTCTGAAATTTTGATCGGTACTTTTTTAAACTTTTGATTTATACTATTTGAAAAAATATGCGCTCTATAGGAATATTTGCTCTATAGCAATATGTCGTGTGCTTGTAGTTCTTGTCCTGCATTTATAAATTATTAATGTAAATGATATGATATCTCAATTCTTGACAAATTCTTTCAAGATTCTTGATACTATTTAAGGAAATAAGTATAACTTAACAGAAATGAATCATTCTTAATTCTTCCCGATATTTTTTAAGGCACACAAGAAGAAGCAGCCGAAGCCTACGACATCGCAGCCATAAAGTTCCGCGGCCTAAACGCCGTGACAAACTTTGAGATAAACCGGTACGATGTAAAAACCATCCTCGAGAGCACCACTCTCCCAATCGGGGGCGCCTCAAAGCGCTTAAAGGACGCAGAAAATGCCGAGAACATGGCCCTCGAAATGCACTGTGTTGTGAACGAAGGAAACACCTTGAATCTTCACCTAGACGACGAGCAAATGACCGGCTACACAACCTCCATGAACAACCCTTCTTGGCCCTCCTCCATCGCCTTCCACCAGCCTCATTCGATCGCGAATCTCTACCCTTATCCCCACCAAAGGCTCTGGTGCAAACAAGAACAGCAAGATCATCAAGGGTTCAACGAGCTCGGAGGGAGCAATCATAACTTGTTGCTGCACAACTTGATGAGTCTTGATTCTTGCTCGAATGTTGGCTCGAATTCGGGGGTCTTTGAGAGCTCCGGCGCGGCGAGTGGCAATGGTTTTGGGGTGCCGATGATGGCGGTTCAAGAAGGGGGCGGCGATGATGGCGCCATTTTCGGATCAGGAGACACTTATCAGGCAAGAAATCTATACTACAAGTCTACAATCAGCTAATTAGCTATAATATTTTTAACCACGAAATATTTTTATAGTTAAAACGTTGTTTTTCAATACAAATTTTGATTTTCTAGTAAAAGGATTTTAGCTGCAAAAACAATTTGAATTATAACAAAACATATGAGCATATGTAAACCCTAAAGGATCATTCAAATCAGGTTTTTTTTGTTATTGGGATAGGTGAATTTTTAGTTTGGCTAAAAAGATTATGAATATTTAATTACTAAAATTCTTTTGTTATAAATTTTATTTTTATAGAAAAAGAGCTTTACACCACAAAATATTATCAATTTTTTTTGTTCCTAAATTAATTTTTTCCCTAACTAATGATATTAGAGACGGAATTAAAGAGAGAATTGTGTTAACTATGTGAACTTTAGGAACAAAATTTCATTACTAATTTACTATTTATTTATTTATTTTGGTAGTGTTAGCTACAAAATAATATTTTTGTGGTTATATTTCTTTTTTAATTTTCATTGCGAAAAAATTATCTTTCGTTACGAAAATTTAATTTTTTGCTTAAGACCTTTACCAATGCGGTATAGGTGACAAAAGGTATTTAGTTGCAAAAATCTTTTTAATACAAATTCATTACCTTTTGCTACGAAAGTTTTTGTAGCTAAATTTCAATTGTTTTCTAGTGAAAATATCGAATAATAATGATAATATGAATCATTGTCTGTGTAAAAGATTAATTTTACAGTGATCATCAGGGTTCTTCTTGCAATGCCTGGATTCCTACAGCAGTGCCGGCTATCGGAGGTAGAGGCAACGCCATGGCCGTCTGCCACGGAGCTTCGGCTTTTATGGCGCGCAACGAAACATAATTAAAATGTTGGCTACACAAAACATGCACTTTTGTTGTATACTACTTATCGTCTTCTAACTTTGAAATTCTTCCATTTTAGTGTTGGTTAATTTTGTGAGCAATGTTAGTAATGAATTAAGCAGAATTACGATCAGGACATGGGGTTGTAGGAAGGTATTTCGTGTCCTCGGAAAGTTAGCAGCAAACCATGGCTTTGTAATTTTGAACAGACATGTTACTATACAAAGGATGGGATGACTTGATCGAACATTGCTCTCATAATAAGTAAAATTTCTGTAGATACAAATATATACATATATATAACAGGGGTGATTACGGTGCAGATTTGAAAAAATTAAAACTGTGTTGATTTTCTCACGCAATATCGTTTGAATCTCTAGAAAACAACGTTCGATAGTTCATATAGTACCGATCAATAGTTCAAATACTATGTACTATATTTAAAATGTGTTTTCTAAACTTTAGATCTGTGTTTTATAACTCTTAATTTGATGTTATTTGAGAAATTAAGTTGATATTATCTGCACATTCAATATGTGCTTTTTGAGAAAATCAGTACGGTATTGATTTCTCCAAATCAACACAAGTAACAAAACTGATGTATAATAAATATAAAAAATTTGCAGAATTAAAAATTGCTGTTATCTGGACATTGAATCTATCTTTTTTTTAAAAAAAAAATCAAAATGGTATTGATTTCTCCAAATCAACACAATAACATAATCAATATGTAATAATGAGGTTGTATGAATTATGCTATGACAATGGGAACATTGATTCATAGATACATCGATGGGATTGATGTATTTGGACATGATTCATGACCATAGCTTCTCCATAACCAAAATAGATATGATCCTTCACAAGATTGGATTTTGACGATACATTGAACTTCTTTCTTCATTCTCTATTTTAAAGCTTTCCAAATTTTTTTAATAATGTCCGAACATTGAGCCCAGTTGAATAGTATGCAAATTATGTCCGAGCCACATTGGGCAAGTCATATATATATATATATATATATATTAGACTTGACCGAGGAAATATCAATACAATTTGAGTATTTTTTATGAGCATACTTTTTTAGCTCTTATAATTCTAAAATATTTTAAGATGAATGTATTTTTTATGTTAGGTATAAAAAATTATATCGATGAGAATAGTACGAAGAGTTTTTTGTATGTTGATATTTAAATATTAATTATTAGATCAATACGTAGTCTAAATGAAAAGAAAATGACAAAAATATTTTTGTATTTGTATGCGGTCATTTTGTAATATGCTAGTTACATAAATTGTATTTAAAATTGAGTACATAATCAAATTGTATTTTGTAATATCAATATGCTAATTATTTTACATATCATTGTTATACCAAATCCTCACTAAAAATATGAACAAAATATTTATTTATTTATTTCTTGACAGTGAATATATAACATATAATACTTCACACCAATCTCAATCACAGAGCAGTAATGGCTGCAGCAAATCACACCATCTACATATCCATCGTCTTCTCCAAACATTCTTCAGATTCAAACCTCCGATCATCACGCCATATCCTCAAACTGTTCTTATTTTTCGTTAATGTGGAAGGGCATTTGGGTAACTTCACATTGGGATAATCAACAAATTTGATATTGAGTGATTAGGATTAGAGTGTGATTAAAAAAAGGTGCAGCCGCCACTTTGCTCACCGTATGCGCAGTCTGGTAAAATAACTATCTATGAATATTCAATTGTTGGATCGTCCCAAAATTTAGGTAAAAGATTTGTCACTCATATGTCTACATTCTGAACGATGGAGATCGGAATCAAAACATCACAAGTTCCGATATAGACACGAACAGAGAGCTCTGTTTCCTTATGGATTCTTTCGGACTAGTTTCGGTGTTGATATCGAATCGAAAGATCTAGCCGTTTGATCAGGCTGGAATTTGATGTTGTTGGGGACATCGTGGAGTAAATTATGAACGATGGACATCGTGATCAAATGTTTGGATCATCGAGTATTTGGATCTGAACAGAATGGTACTATTTGTGAATTTCTATTTTACTCATATATTTGTTGACAAGATTGGTGTTATATCTTGTGAGTTGGAACTTGGGTTGATTTTTGTGTCGAACTAGTTGTAACCCCTTTTGATTATAGTGGAAATTTTATGGACTTCGGTCCCGTAGTTTTTACTCCTCACATCGATGAGGTTTTCGCCGTAATTATTCTATTGTTATTGTTTCTGCTAAATTCACTCAAGAGGATAATTCGTACTTTATCGAGCATTAGTCCTTCACAAACCAATTCGATTCGATCAATAATTCCTCCCTGCTCCAGACAAATCTCCTTCACAAGCAAGTTCCAGATCTGCTCGAGATTCGAAAATGGAGAGCGAACAGAACTCAAATCCACCGATTACTAAAATTCAGATACGGCGCGGAGAAAAAAAAAAAATGTCGATTCAATTCAGCAGAAGCCGCCGCGAAGGCAAAGGCTCAAACATCTGATCGAGGAGGATGACGATAGCCATGGCTGAAGCGGTTTCCATTTCCGCGGTAACCGCCAGATGGAAGATCTCGGTGCCAATGGAAACTCCTCGAACCGAAGCCTCCTTCGGCTTAATCTCCGCCACGCGCCGCCGCTTCTCGTCGTAAACCGCGCAGCGCCGCCGCTCGTACGATCCTTCGACTTTGAACCGCGGTTCGTTCATCCTCCTCCCTCCGCCATCGAAGAAGGTAACTTCAGCTAAGCAATTAGAATTGAGCAGCTTCAATGTTTTCCTCGCCGTAAACCGCCGGAGATCGGCGGATTCGCCGTCGAACACCAGCCAGGTATCTTCTAGGCTAAGCCTCTGCAAATCAATTCACAGATCTATTTCGAATTGAAGAAACAATCGATCGATTTGAGGATGATTTTCATGGAAATTAGCTTTACCTTTCGGCGAATTGTTAGAAGAGGCGAACCTAGGGCGTCCATGAGTATTATTTCCCCCTTTTTTCCGGTGATGTAATTGTCTACTCTGTAGACGAGGTCGCCGGCGGCGTTGAAGACTGTGAATCCGTCGCCATTGAAGAGCAACGACTTCTTCCAGACGGTGAGGAGAACAGACTCCGCCGCAGCTTGGCCGCGATTGCAGGACTCCGGCGGCGGCGCCGACGGTGCGTTTGGAAATACTTTGGCCATTATTATTATTATTGTTATTATTATTATTTAATTCTCTGACCTCCAAATTGAAACGAGGTAGAGAATATATATTATATATATAGATATAATAGATACACGGTTGATTATGACATGTGAAACCACATACATCATCGTCATTAATTAATTCATTGTTATTATAGTCTATCACGTGATGTTGTTGTCGTTATTATAAGCCAAACATGTCACCCGCCGCGTTTGGTTACTTTTGCTGATTTGCCCGGATACGTCATTTTATATATATATATATATATATATATATAAAATAGCATAAAATTATTATGGGATTTGTTAGAATTTGATAGAAAAATCTTACTGGTTTTAAAATTTAAAAAAATTTACTTTTAATTTGTAAAACGTTGCATAAAAATCTTCGGAGCACTCTTCTCTCCGTCTCCTTCTTTTATTCGTTCATTCGAGCTCAAAAAGTAGTAAATATTTGGTTTCAAACCGCCTATTTTTGAACCTGGTGCGTCTAAAGAAGAATAAAAGAAGGGAAAAAAAAAAAGAATAAAGAAAATTTAGCAAAAGAAGAACAGAAAATTAAAAAATAAAAAATTTGGTGGCCTTGAAGAAAAATTGAAGAAGAAGAGAAAGAACCAAAAAAAAAAAAACTTAGTGTGCCGTAGGAAGAATTGGAAAAGAAAAAAAAAATTGAGGAAAATAAAAAAAAAAAAGAAAGACCATGGTTAGCTTAGAGAACAAAAAATTGGGAAAAAAAATAAAAGAAAGAACCTGATAGTAAAGAAAATTTGGAAAAGAAGGAACACAACAAACAGAACTCAAAAGTAAATTGAATTTAATTAAGTTTCTTTCTGTTCGTGTTATGAAATTGGACAATATTGAATCTGTTTCCCACAAATCGCTTGACGGGTGAATAACTCAAGCTCATTCCGATGATCGGCAGTGGTGGCGGTTCTTAACGGTTGCTCCTCCGGCACAGCAGCGGCTTCGACTCCAAACAACGACTGCGTCCAGCGCATTAGTGGCTTCGTCTCTTGGACTAACAGACAACGAGTGAATACTTTCATCGGTGATTCTCTTAGCAATCTTTTGAAAAAAAAAAAAAAAAGGAAGAAGATAAAAAAATAAGAAAATGAGAGTGGATATCTAGGTGAAAAAGGAAAAAAGAAAGATGAGAGTGGATGCCTCGGAGAAGAGGGAAGAAAGAAGAGCATGAGAGAGACAAATAAATTAAAAAATATATAAATAAAGACATAACGGTCAAATATGATAAAATTTAACGTCGTCTGCTAATAAAATTTAGAGGGGATGGTCGAGTGATAACGATCAAATATGATAAAATTTATTGTTTCTTAGTATAATTTAGAGGAGGATCGAGTGTGCAATATTTTCGATACCACAAGTAGGTTTTTTAGAATTTTAGAACTGCGATGGATTTTCAACGAATTCGGAAAATCACATGAAATTTTTTGCTATTTTGCCAAAATATGTTTGATAGTATGTATTAATACAATATATAATAATAGATTATATATTACTCCTTTTGTTTCGAACATTGCGCAACATTTAAGTTTGACATGAAAATTTAAGTGAGTAATATTAAGTATGATAATTTAAAATAATTTAAAAATTAGGTGATGTGATTTGTGAAAAAAATGTATTTTTATTTGAATGATACGATAAAATAAAGTGAAATATATATATATGCTATATATAAATATAATTATTTATTTATTAATTCAGAAATATTACAGTAAATTTGAGACATAAAAAAAAAATGTTGCAGAATGTTTGACCAGACAGATTCCTTGAACAACTTTTAGTTGTTTAATAAGTCAAAAACTAATTTAGGTGTTTGGTAAATTAGCTTTCTAAAATAGCTTATTGGCTCAAAAAAGTTAATTTCTGAAAAGCTATATAACCCAACGTTTTGAAAGAGTTTTTTTAATTTAATTTTCTTTATTCCTTATTTGCCCTTAAAATATTATTATTTATTTTACATATATATAAATATATTTTCTACTGCATTAATTATAAATTATTTTAATATACTATTATTTATTAAATTATAATTTTATTTTTATAAAATTAAATTAATTAATTTTATATATAATAAATTTTATTTGTAAACAATATATATTTATCAAAATAAAATAAAAACATAAATATTAGTAATTTATTTTTATATTAAAAGTAAATAAAATAGAATAAATTTACTAAAAATTATAAATATAATAAATTAATCAATAATTAATATAATAAATATATTTACAAAAATTTTACTATTTTATATTTTACATCATTCTTAATAAAAAAAATATTTATATTTAAATAGAAATATATATTATTTTTCTCACATCTAAAATTAATAAAAAAAAATATATATATATTTTATAACACATTCGCAATTTCAAATAACTAATAACAAATTTTATTTTTTTTTAAAAAAAAAAACCACAATTAAAAAATTTTAAAAATTAAAATATAAATGCCATCGATTGTGATTTTACGTATAAATAGCTCATATCAAACAATTAGTTTATCAAACATTTTAATACAAACAGCTAATTGAGTCAGCTAAAATCTATCAACGGATTACGAGACAAACCCATAATCTAAATTTTATATTGTTTGTCTTGTGCAAACAAACCTAGAATGTATGTGGAAAATAATTTTTTTTTATATATATAAAAATGAAAAAATATTTTATACTCAAGGCCTTGAAGTTATATATATGCTCAATCAATGTTCCATAATGCCAAATCATGTCCAAAAGAATTTTTTATATTTTGTTAAAGTTAACAAGAGTAATGTACCATTCATGAGTCATTATATTATTTTTATTATTTTTTTATTTTTTATTTTTTAATTGAAATTTAAGAATATAATGTAATAATTTTGAAATTTATTTGTGAATGATTGAAAAAAAACTGAACAAACTTCTAAGAGATTACAATTAACTATGAATAAAATTGTATTCATTCATCCACCTCTCAATAAAACCACATTTATTCACTCATCCATCAATTTAAAAGAACATTGTCTCTAAAAAATAAAAAATAAAAATGGAACATTCTCTATCAAACCAAAATTCTAAGATGTTGTTTGTTTTAAATTTCTTTTTGTATTGATATTTTATTTTGTGAAAAATATAATTATTAAATGTAATATTTTATAAGAAATATATATATATATATATAACTTCCATACAAAAATTATCGGAGTAATATTCAATAGGTAATGGTTTTTTTTTTAAAAAAAAAAATGAAGTAAAAAGAACGGTGTGTTTGATTTTGAATTTTTGTTCAAATAATATTTTAAAAAGAAAATATAGGTTTTGTTCATTTAATACTCTCTCCGTCCCAACTCAAAGTATCATTTTATCATTTTCGTTTGTCCCACTTCAAAGTATTTTTTTCTATTTTAGTAAAAATAATTATACACCAATAATAAAATACCATTAACTTTTATCTAAATTACAAATATACTACTACACGTACAATTATTTTTTACCTAAAGTCAAAGGGCAAAAATGTCAAAACTGCATATATACTTTCACCGACTAATAAAAAACTATTACTTTTTAATCTACTACAAAACCTCGAAAGACCCCTTTGGACCGTGACGGAGGGAGTATTTTTTATTTTTTTACTAAAAATTAAACGAGAATAAATTTGGATGACAAAAAAAAAATGCAAATAGATTTGGATGACGAAAAGAGTATTAAAAAATAATAATTTAAATACATTAATATAATATATATTATATATTATATCCACCTAAAAAAAATCAATAATTGAATACAAAATATTACTCCCTCCGTGATTCAAATTTATGTTCACTTTTCTTTTTGGGTTGTTATTGAAAAATATTCTCATTTCATTTTTAAGTAAAAAATTATTACATTTTTGTATTTTTTTTACTTAAAAAAAAATAACAATTATTACTCACTTTTATTAAAACTCGTGTCTGATCAAATGAGCACATATTTGCATGACGGAAGAAGTATTTTTTATATTATCAATACAATTCTTCATATTTAACATAAAAAATACATTCACTAAAATATACATATAGAACAAACTCATTATATATATATATATATTTTTTTTTTTTAAATTCGTACAATAATCTATATATTAATAACACTTTTACAAATTTTCATTATATTTTTATAATTTATAATAATTAATAATAAAATTTTTAAATATCTTAAACGCTGAAATGCACAACCTAAAATTCTAGAGGGTTTTAGGTAAAAAATAAGTGAACTCACCAAAATTATTATAAAAAAAAAATATTATCTAATTTATAAATGTCTAAATTGAAATTAATTAATATAATTACGCAATTTATATTAGATATAGAACGAAACATATTGGAAACATGTATATTCAAATTAAATCACATGTTGGTGAACCAAATTAAATACTTCCTCTGTCTTATAACAAAATATTTATTTTTCCATTTTAATTCGTCCTATAACAAAGTATTCATTTTTTCATTTTATTCCGTCCTATAACAAAGTATCAATTTTCTTTTTTAGTAACTGTACTATATACCTAACATTACAAATACTCTTACAACTTACAATATATTACACAAATGTTCATTACTTTTATATTACACATATTAATAAAGTTATTTTAGTCATTTCTACTTTATTCCTACTACATTGTAATATAATACTAATATTTCTAAAACCACGTGCAAAAAACAAATGGATATTATTTATGGGACGGAGGGAGTATAAAAAAACGTGATTAAAAAACACAAGCAAATTAATTCTATCAATTGGTTTTTATTTCTTCTCATCATTTTGGAATTTAATTAAATTTATAATCAATTAATTAATACATTGAAACTCTTTGCTAAAGATAGACTTCATTGCTCATTGAAAGATAAACTTTGGTGTTTGGTCCTAACTTTTCATTAATTGACAATTAACTAACATCAGATATATATATATATATATATGTGGTGTAATAATAATAATAATAATAATAATAGCCTTCGATCTACAATTATGAGTTTATAGAGTTCTTAAAAAATTAAAGTTTTTTTTTTATCATTTTAAATTCAAATAAATATTATTCACTTTGGACAATTTTTAATAAAAGTACTCCTTTTGTCCATTTTAAAA